TATATATATATATATATATATATATATATATATATATGTGTGTGTAGATAGGAAGGGAGTAGATATACAATGTACTCGTGCAGAAGCACGAATTTTTTGGCATGAAAAAATGTGTTTGTAGAGATTAGACACAGGCTTTATATACTAAATTTCTTGAGCATACAATGTTTTGCCCCTTAACAATACTCCTAGATAAACTCCGGAGCATACAATATTTTGGCTCAAAAGCATTTGGTAAGTTGATCAAGTCATTCATCCCCTGGTAGATTCCAAAGCTTTTAAGACCAGAACATACCTCAACATCCATTCTTACAGGACATCCATGAATTTGGAGCTCCGAAAACAAAAGCAGAACCGATAATCTTTGAAGAATCAAAATGAAAGGTCTGACAAAATCAATACAAATAGTTTCTCTCTCTCAACGACTCAACAGCTCATTCAGGTATTATCAGTCATCAACCACCATAGAAGTCATCCCCTAACCTAGCATCTTTTCTCATCTCATAGGGAGGCCTCTCCACGCCTCCTCTATTATAATTCAGAGAAAGTCCCTTCACAATTTAAGAATGCCAGAGTCCAAAAATTGAGAAGCGAGAAGCATGAAGCATACTCATCAATTTGTTTTCAAGCAAGGTCACTCGCAGTCCAACAAAGAATAATAACCTTCGAGCCTCCCACATTCCAAGCTACTTCTTTCCCCACCAAAAATACACACACAAGAAAAAAGAAGGAAAAGAAATGGGCACGGGGAAAAGAACAACAAAAACCGCAGCAGCAGAAAAAAGAGGAAAAAGGGGAGGAGGCAGGTGTGGGCGAACATTTGGGAAAAGAAATCTCTCATCTCATCCCCACAAAACCAACCTTTCTCCAAGAAGCCAACCAGCTCTTAAAAACTCTTTACTAATGGGTCCAACAACATTTGGCTCAGCTTACTAAGGCACAGTGGTCGCCTTGGTATATGAAAATCGAAATGACACCCGCCCCAAGATAAAGAAAATAATTTCCACAGTAAAAAAGCCAGTTCACAAACTGCTTCAGATTTTCCATCGCTTTCATCTCTCACTTATTTTTTAATATAAAAACTATTCATAATATGCATAACTATATTATCCCATTCAACATTAAATAAGTCTTCCTTTCATATTTACAATACACAGAATGCCTGATTTCTTTCACTCCCAAAGCCTCGAGTCCAAGCACTCAACAGCAATCAAAACCATCTAAATTCACTTGTCTTAGGACAGACGGAGTCTAACAAAGGGTAATAGTAGATTCGAACCATCCGATGTCTCTACCTTAACGGTAATAATATTAAGATTCATCTAACTTCCCAAGAACAATGCTAATCCTTCTTAGGATGGTATTAGTCATTCCTTCTCAATCAAAGCCTTAACTAGATCTAACCTTTATTAAATAAAATAACTAAACCTGCACAGTTTGTACAAGACAATTTGCAGCCCCCAAGAAACGATATTAGAGGAAGATACGGAGAAAAATACAAAAGGAACCAATGGACATGCGAGATAATGAAGCATTCTTTACTATACAATCACACCAATAAGCATAACACTACAAAAATGGATTATGGGGTCGTACCATCAATCACTGTACAGCAAGCCGCTGAAGATGATCCATGAAAACTTCAAAACTTACATCATCAGTGAAAATAATATCACCTCCTGGTGGACGCGCATCAGAATTGTAGGTTGCAGAAGGATTCAATTTCACCAAGAGGAAACGAGCCTGATATTTATAAAAAATATTGGTCTCAATAGCATAATACAGCATCCGTTGGTCCGTACAGTGCACGTAAGCATAAATAGGTGTCCAATGATGCTAGTATTGACAACTCAAATGAAATGCAAAAAAATTACAAAACAAAGTAGAGTGAGTATAATGTGCTCCAGCAGGAGCACATTGTACACTTGCTCCCTCAGGAAAAAGACCCACTTCCTAGATCTAAAATAATGAGATCCAATTTAGAATCATTAGATAAGTAAATTTTAGAATCACTAAATAAGCAATTTTCCAAAAGAAAAGATTTTGAGTTAACTTGATAGCCTCATATAAACCCAGATCTAACCCCTCCAAAACTTGGACAGTCTTTGTTGAATCCAAGGGCATCACTTCTTTCAGGCACTTCTAGAGTGTATTTCCAAATTTTAATTCATGTTTTTTATTTTAAAGTTGGACGGAAGGTTGTGTAAATTTGCATCCCAACATTTGGGGTCCTAAAAGTACTAAGGTTTTACCTGCAGGAGCATAGAAGCTTTTCAGAACAAAAAATCATAACATAATATGTGCCTCCAGCAATAGATAGCGAATGGCCTGAGTAGCAGAAGCTAATTACTCTCTCTCATTGGATGCAAGTCAATTAGCTAGTTCTTAACTTGATAGCTTAATATAAACCTAGATCTAACCGTCCAAACAGTCATAGTTGAATCCAAGGGCATCACTTTTTTCAGGCACTTCTAGAGTGTGTTTGAAAATTTCATTTTCCTTTTATTTTTTATTTTTTTTAAGTTGGGCGCAAGATTGTGTAAAGCTATATCCCAACATTTGGGGTCCTAAGAATACTTCTAGCTAAGGTTTTACCTGCAGGAGCATAGAAGCTTTTCAAAACAAAAAATCATAACATAAAAGGAAAAAGCATCTCCAGCAATAGATAGTGAATGGCCTGAGTAGCAGAAGCTATTACTCTCTCAAATTGGATGCAAGTCAATTAGCCTATGCTATAGATAAGTAGTAGACTGTCATTTGGATATTAAGATCTAAGCAGAAATAATCAGCCACCACACCAATGCATTTCATTTCAGGACACGTATCGTTATAATTAGTATACTTCATTAAAGATAAAATCACTATGACAAAATTAGCCACTGAGTATGCGGACTTCCAATTGAATCAGTTCATTTTCAATAAAATCATCAGCAGACAATAGCAATGAAAGTTCAACTTACGAATACTGGGAAGCACAGCAAATCTGGAGTTACCTGGGAACCATGTTGGTCACAAATGACCAAGCGAGGAACAGGAAATCGTTCCTTTATAATAGTATCTGCTTCATCTCGAGGAGCTTGTAATAATAGGGCAAAAATCTGTACAACGATTAGAATCGCAATGTAATTTATTATGAAGTTACAGGTGCGAGCTCCCTCCCTCCCTCTCCCCTCTCTCATAAAAATGCTGTCTATGCTACACCATCCATGGCAAGGGCATCCACCATATGTCCTCATCAACAGACAGTGAAGATGAAGACTTCTTGAATTGAAGGACAAGAGCGGGGCTCTGTCACTACAGTGCAGCTCCACCATTTGCTGATGAGAAAAGGTGGATGCCACAGTTTTATATGGTCTATTAAGACATGGATCGGAACACTGCAATAGTCTTCTAAGAGGTTTGGGCCAAAACTAAAAAGAAAGACAATCATTTTAATTTTTAACAGCTGAAGAAATACATTTCATTAGGGTGATCAACAAATTATAATAAAATGGGAATCCAGGGTGCAAATTTTCCAAGTATGTAATTGAGCTGATGATATGCACAGAAGATTTACCTTGTGCTCTTCTTGGTTCTGGTAACCAGCATTTCGCCATTGAGCAACAGTAACCCCATGAAATATTACAACAGTAAAATAGGAATCTAAAAGAAGGATTCTATCAGCAGCAATGGAGGCAACATCAAGGAGGGCCGGTTCAGGGCCCGAGTGAAAGGAATAAGATATTAATGAAGGCTGAATCATTACAACTGAGTTGGTCACATTCTCTCGATTCAGAACCATGCGAAAATAAGCAGTTTCATCAGGACTGTTGTTAAAAACCTGCATCAATTTCCTAGTGAGAACCCAAGAAACAAATTTTGTGAAAACTGAACAAGACCACTTCTTGCTATGATGCACTTCAGAATTTATTCTAAGAAACCAGGTCAAAGCGGGTTGAACCAGATCGGACAGTCCTACCGGTTGGACGACCAACAAGTGCCTTGGCTGGTTTTGTCTAAAGAAAATCCATATTTGGTCGTAAACAAGCCAGAACCAAAGTTTGACCGGTTCTGGCAGGTCAGACCAGCAGGTTTTGACCAATTGGACAAGCAAACCAAGGTTGGGCCACTAATTTTGTAATATAGCTAATATTCTGAAACTATTCCCTATGTTCTCTTTATCTTTTTAAAATCCTGTCTAAATTGCTCAACTGGTAGTCCATCTGGTTTTGACAAAAGCAAATCCCTAACCAGTTAAAGGGCATGTCCAGTTCTGATACGATTAGTTTGAACAGTATCCCAGCAATTCTTAATCTTTTTTTAAGTCGTGTTTCATTATAATTAAATAAGTATTATGAAAATAATAAAATATTTTACTCAAACTTGTCCAAACCAGTTGGACTGGCATGTTCCAAAGAGAACCCTCCAAAATTCAAATAAAGAAAATGCCATCCAAAACTCAATAAAGAATACCTGGACAAACTGAGAGCGACGCAAATTAAAAATAAACTGAGGGAAGATTGAAAAACGAGGAGATAAGCTGAAAGATGAAGGGCTATCTTTCTGATAGTCTCCAAACTTTGAACATAAACGTATCAATGACCTATCAAGCCACCGAATGGCATCGAAATCAGCCTGTGGAAAAGATCATAGGTCAGTTTGAAAACATGTTAGTTGCACATTTAAAAGAATAAATATAAAACTTTAACAAGACAAACTAATTGCAAAAAAATTACAATTACCCACTGTGAAAATTCATGTAACTGTTACTGCTGTAAATAAATTGTGTTAAATATGTTTTGCCATGTCACCACCCAATAGAATTATGACTAACATTATGAATTTCCAACATTAGAAGAAAACACGATACATGTATACAAAAGTTAAGAGTTTCCAAAATTGTGTGAGCACTTTTTGGCCAAAATTGAAGTCATGTGCTCAAGGCTCCTCTTTGACATACAATTTAAGCCATCTTTTCAAACAAAGATTTAAAAAATAAATCAACAATCTTATCCCTTCCTCCCAAATTACAAAAATTAAAAAACGAGCGAACTTTTTCTACATCCACCGTCCAAATTTAATCCTTTCATGCTCTCGTACTTTAACAACTTTTGTTCTTATCTTAGACAAACAGTGTAAAATCACATTGACTGAGAATCCTCTACACCAAGGGGTAAGGCAACTAAGTCAAGAAAGTTATCCATGTGGTGAGTTCCGTGATGACTGTGTATACAGCGAGAGATATAAAATCTTACATATGGTTAAACATATAGTATACAGCAAGAGGCTAATTAGATTAAATGAAGCAGTATAAAACCAAGAAATATTGATATCTCTGCTCTGGAACCATCCATCACTCTGTAGCTTCCTAATTTTAAAGGCAAATCATAAAAATACACAGGAACATCATTACCATGCCCATAAGAGGGATTTTTCTTTGAAAATTGAATAAAAACTCAGAACAACCATAGTCTGAATCATGAATAGCATCAATGAGTTAAGTTCCTAGGAATAAAGAATCTCCCACAAACAAATCCAAATTCACTTAACATTTGTACTTTACCTCAGTTTCCATCTTTAGTGATACCAATCGCGCCATCACTACAACAGCTGTTTCTTGATCAAATCCAGCAATAAACTCCTACACATCCAAGCAAATTATCTATTTGTCATTAATTCTTATGAGAATCTGAAACAACCTAACATGCATTAATGCTTTAACACGAGTACCAAACCATCTAAGAAACTAACATTCAGAAGCTTGCATCAGCAAGTTGCCACCTGAAAACTAAAAACGTGTGCCATATCATAAGAACATTATAGATTATTTTCATTTCAGAGTTGATACGATTTCACATCTAAACTAAATCACAATGAGATGAACAGTGAAGACTCCTGGCAGTCTGCAATCCTTTGTTTTGTTTGCTAAGTGGTTGTCTTCAATCTTACAAAGGACGCACGATAGATCTTTCTAAGCAATTATTTATAACAAATTAAAGCATTGTTTGAAAAACATTGGACTTCGAGTACCGTATAGAAAGAATATGCAAGTGCATGCCTAGTGAGCACAAAAACATGACAAGTAAGACAATTCCAACAGGGTGGTTTACTCATTCTGCGTGAACTAAGGCAGACTCCATGTCCTTGTTGATGTCTTTATCGCCTAGAATAATTTTTAAGCCCTGAATTCTCAATGCTTAGAAAAAACTTAAAATAGGATATTTAATTGACTAGCGTGACAAGAAATTGCTACACTTTTAGAAATTAGATTTGTTCGGGGTTGCAGCTCAGAATATACTGATGTACACCATGTAATAGTACAAACATCAATTTCTACCACTATGTTATAAGAGGCCTTCAAGAACTAGTACATAGAAGTCATAAAAGTTAGTGGTTCCCCCAAATGTTCAAAAAGGGCAGTGGCAGCCACACCTTGCCCCCTCCAAGGCAGCGCCTCATGAATGACGCAGTCCAAAAGGAAGGAGGGAAAAAAGAAAAGAGGGCCGGGGGGGGGGAGAGGAGGGAGGGGGGGCGATGGGTTCGAGGGGAATCTCAAACCGTTAGATATATTTGTAGTTTTGAACTTGTTAAATATAGAAAAAAAAATTATATAAGGTGTCAACCTTATAATATAGAAAGAGCAGATAAAGCAGATCTACAAGCACCTTGAAAATCTTGAAAATGGACAGGCTAGATAATATGATACAAGATGCATTATTTTTAGGACTCGAAATCCATTGTTTCTTTCATATCTATACATATCGAGGTCGAAATGATCAGTTGGAGCGTTATCCAGCATCCAAATAACCTTTTCTGATGGCGTTTCGAGTCTTCAAACTTTATAATTATGGGTGGAAATAGATTTTTCAGTTATAAAAAGACGTTCGCTACCGGAACTGCATCTTTCGGCCGAATTTAAAATTGCGATTTCCTTTGATGTTTAAAGTACGCACCTTATATACACCTCACTCTGAAAATATAGTTTTGAGCTACAGTCAATAGTATGATATTAATATATCGATAATATACCAATATATTGGTATCTGGTACAAAAATCATATAACACAGTCAATAATAAATATTTGAACTATTAATATTACATTGACAACAAATATTTATAATATATTGATATCTTAATATATTTGTACTATAACACTATGAATATATTATTAATCATTGTACAATGGCGCAAAACTTTTAATATAGTAGTACAGTATTAATATGTATTATTAATAGTAGTGCAGTATTATCCTATGTTCTCAATAACAGTATATATTACTGTTTTTTTTTTTTCATAAATAGTAATAGTATATATTAGAGGACCTGCCTAGGCTGCAAGGCAGAGGCGGGCGGGCGCCTTGTGGCATAGCCTAACTAGGAACCCCCATAAGCCAACTCATTTGGGTGAGGGACCTCAACCGCCTAGGCAGGCCTCTAGGCGAAGAGGTGATCAAATATTTTAACATTGGCCATACAGCAGATGGCAAAGAGGGAGAGGGGAGAGGGGGCGGGCAGGAAACCTTTCCAAGTAGAACGCAAAATGCCACTACTTAGCAGAGTAGCAGCATGTCGCATGACCGCCCCAATGCAAATTGGGAATAGCAAACCAATCCCCATTGGCCGGCTATACCATCTCATATAGCAGCATATTTCATTACATAAGCTTCCGCATATGCAGTCTTAGCTTATTTTAAATATGAGTTTTCAGCTAAATTTATTGCTTAGCTCGAATATGAGTTTTCAATTAACTTTTTTTCTTCATAAGGTTTTCATCCTGGGCGACAAATGGTGATTGAAAAGTTTGAGAATGAAATGAAAGATTCACCAAGAGTAAATAAGGGATTACATTCCTTCTGTACCAGAACATACATAAACAATGTTACTGAGTTACCCCTATGGAGAAACTTTCCTGCTTCTCTTTCCATGATAAAAAAGACAAGAAATATGCATAAGCTAAACATACACTTGTGAGCATCAAGAGTCCAGACATCAAAACCGATTCAGAAGTTTGTCATGAGATTAGAAAATTTTAGTTAAGTAGCATAAGCAAACACATACCTGTAGACTACCTGGTCCAGCCACCCATCTTCTAGAAACTGTTGTCACACGAGTTCTCATCTGCCCACTGCTATGTTGGTAACTGCACCAAAACAACTCTGACCATTGAAAACATTTCATACCCATATAATGGAAGAGATGAATACACCTAGGATCAATTAGAGGTCCAGTTTCCATACTAGGTTAAGAACTGGAAGTAGAACTGATTGCTCATGGATTGACCAATTGCACTTGGAATTTCCTTTTGCACAATCTCAAATAGCATGCAAAAAGAAGTTTTCTTATCGAGACCACACATCTTCCAGGCACTAGTACTGCCCTGACCAATAGCTAAATCAGAGCACAAAGGACCATTCTGTGCAAAAAAAAAAAAATATCAATAGATCAATATATCATGCATGAATATTTCATGCAGTAGAGACTACACCAATTTTCAGCACACCTTTTCAAGAGATGCACAGGGACCAATTATGCCTTGTATCTTGACATCCTTTGAGCAGTTCACTTCAAATATACCACTGCAAATACAAATGGAGTATTTCAAGCAGTAACAACATCACTAAGAGAATAAAAAAAACGATATTTATTAAAAACATTATAATGAAACGGGGGTTATAGTTCCCGGTGACAGATTTGGAATAAATATAAAATCAAATGCAATAAATTAGGGATAGTCTCCTGGGTAATTGTACTATTGAAATGGCTTGCCCATCAAATCTTAAGTACCAAACATCATCATCCTTCATCATGCATACCTTGTCTAGCAGCCATATAAGGTCAGGACTGCCCCAGAAATACTAGAAGGAGATTAATGGTGGTGCAGGATCCACATAAAAATTTACCTAATGATTGAAATTTTTAAACTGACACATAACAAGAATCAAACTGGGCCCAGAAGACACCATAATCAATATTAAATTCTAGTGATTCATCGTCCCAAAACTAAAATTCAAATTCTACCCCTCAATTCTCTACAATATTGAAAAGACATAAATATCCCTTGGATAACTACAAAAATAAATGAGCAAATTACCCTAGTTTCAATCTCTTAAGAAAATAAAATAATATAAAAATAGAAAATCCTAACTACAATCTCTCAGGGTCTAGCTTCAATCGCCTAGAAACATAGTGATATAAAAATAAAAATAAAAGAAATAGAAAAAATTACCACATCAAATTTGTTTGCTTCATTCCCATTGAATAAAGCTCTAAAGCATGAAATCTAAAGGCATTGTTTGCCCAAAATTTGAATTTTAACTTCAAATACATAAATAAATAAATAAACAATTCAAAACAAACATATTCACCCTTTGGGGGCCTTTTCTATTTATGATCAGGGTACATCAATACCAGAGGACCCTTAAATGCTTTGTTAATTATATTTAACTATAATATTTGATTCATAAAACATCTGATTCTTCAATTACAATGGTTTATAAATAATACATAGAGAAAATTTGTTTGCCCCATATATTGCTTCCTTCTTGGTAATGTTTTCTCCTTTAAGATCTATCCAAATTACTAGTTTCAGTTTCTCACACTGATGTCTGCGATGTCAGAAGTCTCAGTGTTCTCCAATCTCTATGTTGTTTGTTACTGCATTCGAAGCTCAAGCTGTTTTGTTAAAATTCTAATTTTGGAAATGCGGTAATGGTTGCAGATAGCTAACAGAGGGTGGGACTTTTTCCAACTGCCACCGACAAATGCATTGATCCCAAGACACCTCTCATGAAGTGTCGATTGTACGTATTAAATGCTTAAGGGCATAATTGCCTATTTACTGTATTTTCTGTTTGATGTACTTAGCATTCTTGGACAAAAACGACCATGGCGACTTTTGGCTGCCCTAAACAGTAAAGCCACCTTTTTTAAACATGATTGAACATGGAACTCTGAGCTTTTTGCAACAATTTTATATGGGTTTTTGCCATTTTAATGCACTTTGTAGGCAGAGAGATGTATCATGGTATGTTGAATTCAATTTCATTAAAGGACTTAGGCTATCATTTGTATTTTAAAGGAATGTATCATTTTTTGGCAGCAGTTAAGACTATTCAGACACAGGCCACTTGAAGTTTGATCCCAATTTCTAGTTTATTACCAGAATTTGAATCCTTCAAGTTTCTTGACCTATTTGGTCATATTTGTAATTCCAAAGCCTATGGCTTTGAATATGTAATTATTAAATTGCTTGAACTTTGCCTCCAGACTTTAGGGCCAGAATGACTTTAGAATCACTCCACGATGTCTTGCTCTTTACCCAAACTACGATTTTTATCTTTGATCAGGTATGAGCTTGTTTCAGAGCTTGTTGCTCCAGACTTCATGAATCAAAGCTCGACCCCCCTTTTGGCTGCAGTCAAGCCTGTTTGAACTAGGGGTGATTCAAAAACACACCAAACAGGCATTCCATAAAAGTGGAAATTGATGCATGGGACCCAAACAACACCTAGGACTTTATGGCTTTGTAAGATTAAAACGGTATCCGATGAACCTATAACAAAGTATAAATCCAAGCTAGTAGCCAAGGGCTCTAGAGTTAAGAATACAAAGTAAACTATGAGACATTGTACATAAAGAGAATTTGACAACATGGATTGGTTCTGTCACTGCTGCTAGAAAATGGCCCCATGTCATGTTAGAATTTTATCTTATATCAAGTAGATTTTTTTAATAATTCCATCAATGTGATACTAAGAATGTTTTCCAACAGGCATCTCAATGGACACTATTTGAAACTTCCACCTGGTTATCCTAGACAACTTTCTTGTTTTGTAAACTATAAAAACATGTAGGGTTTGAAAGTGAATTACAGGAATAGGATAACCAATAAACCTGCCCAATCAATTGAAAAAACCCTCCTCCCTCCTCTAAATGGCAGGATGAAATTCATTAGACGTCAACCATTTCTACTCAATCCAAGGATCCAACCATTACTTACATGAGCTCACATTGGTTAAGCCCGAGAGGTGTCAGGCTTTCATTAGCTCAACCCCCCTAATTTTTGCTTTGATGGCTTCAATTGGTTCTCATCCCATGTGGCCATGTCTATGAGTGTGTATCAAACACTTCATTGTCCTGTTAGCAGTGTTCGCAAAATCGAACCGGAATGGTTAACAGGACATAAGTCTGGGAGAGCTTAGAACTGGAAACGGACTAACCGGGCAGTTAACTGGACTAACCGATCCGGTGGATTTTGAAAAAAAAAAAAAAGAGTCAAAAACCCCAAAAACATTTAAAAAAGAAAAACTTAGATTAAGTGTATATTACCTTATTACCTACATTTATCTTACAAAAAAAAATTTGAAGCAACTTTTTACAAAAATTAATATATGAATACTATGGAGATATGCAAGGCAATTTATAATTTGACATTAATTTAATTGATGGTGTTACAAAGCCCAACTAACAATGGCTCGTAGTAATGAGAGCGGTATGGGGGGTCAGGGTATTCTTGTGTTTTTCCAATGTATTTTCTTTGTTTCTCTATTCCAACAAAAGTTTTGAAGTAATCATATTAACAGTTCATGACTACATTCATCAATTGAGCAGCAAAGTAAACGGCCATATCAGCAGTCCTTATGACAAAATAAGAAAATGGTAGGAAGGAACTGAGTATTATTGATCCTAAGTAAAATATCAGAATCCAAGACAGTTATTTAAAAGCAAGATCAATTTTTTTTGAAAACAAAAAAGTTTGAAATTGTGAATGCCTCTGCCAACACAATTATAATCCCATTTCCATTAAAAATTACAATCCCAATTCCATTATTACAACAATTAAATTACAATCCCATTTCCATTATTACAAATATAACTATATCATGCACTTGAAAAAAAAAGAAAAAAAATCGGACAAAAAAAAATGAAGCAAAAGTAAGACCGACATTATCATGCACTTATTTTTATGTTTGTTAGAAAAAAAAATATAACATTTAAACAAGAAGAATCGATTTTTTTGTCATATTCATCAAACAACATATTTTTATCATAAAAACATAATTTTATCAAAAAATATATAATTTTTGTAAGCAAAATAGAAAAACACTTCCCACATTCATCATAAAAAATAATTTTATTAACTTAACAATATTAAGTAAAATTATTTTTTTTTTGAAAAATCAGTTTCTCGAAAACCCCTAAAATCGAGTAACATTTCAAGCAAAAACAACCCTCAATGGTCAGAAAATCGAACAAATCAATACAAAAAATCTTTGCAAACGTTTCCATCTTGGTATTTTTTTATTTAATTTAAAAAATTGCAGAAAATTTAGACCTATGAAATTTTCATGACATCAAGCAAGAAATAAATTCATAAAAAAAAATTTACACAATTATACATCAACGTACCTATTTTATATGACAAATGAAGCCTTGATGATCAAACTCCATAAATTAATTTGATAAAAAAGACCAGTAAATTGATCCAAAATCTGTTTTTTGGATTGAACACAAGTTCTTCGAGCAGCAAATTTTGAGGCCATAATCAACCCCAAATATCTTGTTTTCTAACAAATTGAAACATGGATATGGTAACCAATTCGATTATGATTTAAAACCCTCAACTTTCATCAATAATCATTACCTATTGAAGATGAAATTAACGAAATGGTCGATAGAATTAGGGTTCTTCGAACAGCTCGAACACATGTTCTTCGAGCAAATTTTCAGGCCAAAATCAACCCCCTATATCTTGTTTGTTAAACAAATTGAAACAAGGATATGGTAAACAATTCGATTATGATTCAAAACTCTCAAATTTCATTGACAATCGTTACCTATTGAAGAAGAAATTGATGAAATGGCAGAAATTTCAAAGGGTTAGAAAATCCACCTCTTCAATCCACAAGAACTATTTTTATTTTTATCGTTGATTCGAATTTTGTTGTTTTATAGACAATCAATAATGGTTTACAACACTAGAGCACCAAAAACGCCAAAAAATGGCAAGGAAATCGAATCAAAAAAGCAAGAAAATTTGATTGACAGATCCTGTTGCAAATAACGGGCTCCATTTCAAAACACGGCCGTTATTTCGTTTTGCCTTTTTTTTGCCCAAAAAAAAACGTCGTTTTAACAGAAAACCGGTCCGATTAGATCAAAACGGGCCGGTTCGACCCCTAACCGTCTGGGTTTGGTCCGGACATTTTATGGGGTGATACCCAAGGTCCTTAGAACCGCAAAACTGCCCCTAACCGAACTCGGAACCATAGCGGTTCCGAGCCAACCGGCCGGTTCCGGTTAGAACCGGCCAGTTTTTCTAACAGTGCCTGTTAGGTATTTAAACACCATGATTGTTACTTACAGGCACGTGTTAATGAAGTATAGTGTCTCAAGCACATGCTAAAACTACAGTTTCACAATTCAGATGCAACTAATTGTGTTGCCATAATCTCTTGGTCGTAACGTTGCTTACTCAGCTAGGGCAATCATTGTCACATATAATGAGTCACCATCATCATCATCATCATCATAGCCTTTTCCCAATTATGTCACATATAATGAGTATGGCATGCAAATTAAATGCATAAAAGTTCTTGCATTAAAGACCGGACTTGGGCTCGGACTTGCCAGGGTTCCAAGCCCGTGTCAACCATTCTGACAAGGCCAAGTCTATGCGAGAAATACAAAGAGTGTATGTGACACAATGAGACTAACCCAAGTCTCAATGTTTTTCATCCCGATGTGGCATGATTCCTAGCCTGAGTCACTGACTTTTTAATCATACATACAAAGGAACTTAGCATAGATTCCTTAAGGCAACAGATTACTATATATCCTCAACACTGTAAATGCATTAATGTATAATAATATAAAATCCATTATATGAAATGGTTTGTGGCCATGATCAAAAATCAGCATAACAGAATGTTCAACAAAAGAAATGTCTGTTAATGTACTGTTCCCAACTTCCCATCAAGCCTATGCGCGAAAATGTTTACCAGCAATATTTATGGATTCCATACGAGGACTACATTCTAGATCATCCGAATCATAAGAGATACTAGCATTGCCAATAAAAACACCAAGATTAGGAATTAAGCACCATTCTCTTTTTTTTATTAAGAAGAAAATTGTGTTTCACCTCAAAGGGATTTGGTGCACTAGAATAGTGTGTGGAGAAAGCAAGTCATGTATAGTAGCCAACATATGAGAATGTCACTTATGAAGAAAATTAGATTATCAATACCCCTGAATCTTAGTAAACTAACAAAATGTCATCATATGCAGCCTAGATTCGTTGAGACCCCTTACTTGAATGAGAGACCTAGGTCATAGTCCGTGGACTGAAAGACTCGTTTCAGAGATTCCTTGAAAACAGAATGGCCAAAGCTCTCTGCCAGCACAACGAGCCCCCCAGTCCTTTCTACAGCAACTTTAAGCTCTGCCACTCCAACCTGTGAAGTCGAATATAAAAGGTAACAATATAAAAAAAACAGTCAGATTAGCGCAGCATACTATGCTTCACATTGCTTTTATCAGAAGGAAATGAAAATATAACAAATTGGATAAAATACATACAGCAAAGTCTAAAAAAAAAATCACAAATAAAGGAGGATATACGATGTATATTGAATATTAAGAATTTAAGAACAAAAACTGGAATGGCAAGCTTTAAAACAGAGAAAAAACAAATTTTGAGAAAGAAACAAGAGAACCCCTACACATGCAACACCAGGACACTATCACACAAATGAACAGTACACATTCTGATAATGAGATAATACCAATATCTTTAGAGGAATGAGGTGGAACCAAGGGGTTGTTAGAAAAAGTTTGATACTTTAGCCTGGTTTCTAACAAGAAAAATATAACACTGAGTTTGTAGTGGTTAATTTGCGCTGAACAATATCAGTATTTATGCCAATGACGTTATGAGAGAGTTTTGTGTGACTGTTGGAGTTGAGTCAAGAAGTAAAACTGTCAAATATTATATCCATCCAAATCCAATATCCATGTAGGATACATATTCAAAGTACACATTGGTAATCTTATGAAGCTCAAATAGAGGTTCAATTCTATTCATTATTTGCAAAAATCAAATAAAACAAAAATAAAATCCAAAAATATAGTTTCTAATTTTTGGCCAAAAAAATATTATGGGGGTGGGAATGCCCCATAATGACGCTAAATCACAACCAAAAGTTAATGATCAATACCCATCAACTTAAGGGCATTTTCTGCCCTAAGGTGCAGTTATGCAAGGCAGGCGCCTGAACGAGAGGGGCTAGGTGCCCACTTAGGCACTTGAACGTAGGGCGCAGGCAGCCACCTCATGAGGGTCCACCAAAGGCCAGCTACTTTGCAAAGGCAGAAGAAAGAGAAAAAGAAAGGAAGTTAGGTGGCAGTTTGGTCTGCCTTGCCTCAAGGAAGCCACCACTAAAAATAAGAGATAAGACTAGCATATCACAGAGAGAGAGAGATCCGTTGCTGATCAACTAATTGGTAAGGGAGCCAGGACAAAAAGGTAGTCTGTGGTGATGTAGCTAAGGAATCACCAATGATATAGTGCAGGTCCTCCAGAAGCCCCTGAAATCTTTCCCCATTAAAAACTGTAGATGTTTAACTCGTGAAAAACTGTAGATGTTAAAATGGTAGGCCCGGGCATAATTTTTTGTGAATAACGTGAAAGCCAGCCATACATGCATTGACTGTCATCGCTGTCCCAAGGTTGCTTTTCTTTGATAGGTCAAGAGTCAGCAGAGCACCTAGTTTGCATGTTACAAATTCACCTCAACCTGAAAATTGCTATTATTGAGAACATTTTCAAGTGCACAAGCAAATTCTTGTTGATTTAGAGTGAATACGTAATTTTTTTTTGTTTTGGATGATCAATTAAATAATATGTTAAGATATAGTGGTGGAGCACAGTAAGAAAAAGGAATAAAATACGCAATAAAAGATCTTATTTATCCAATGCAATATAATTTTATGATAATGTCCAGTCTAGAGTCTAGACCAGAAAGACCAATGTGCACTGCAACACTTTATTTTGTTGCAATTCCTTTTTTCACAGTTTCGTATTCTCTACCACATTCATAACAATTTATTTTATTTTATTTTTGGTTACGAGCCACATTCAAGGATGGAAAAAAAATGGAGAAAAAGGAAACCTGGTCAAGTGCGCACGCAAACAGATCAAGAACATGACCCTGATTCACAAGCTGCTTTGAAAGACCTTCATAGAACTTAACAGCCTTGTGATAAAGAGGGGCAGAATCTTTATCAAGGTCCTTGTGGGAGCGAATCGGCTCAGACAAACTCTTTGTTACAATCTGAAAACGTCACTGATGGTCAGCAAATGCCCTGAACTTTTTAAAACATGTAAAAAAGCATATAAACATGAAACTTCTAGACAGTCACGAATCAGGTTCAATAACATGATCTAAGACATTTAATAGACAAAGAAAAACAATAAATACATAGACACCTTTGTGAGAACCTCTTTCACCATAGCCAAGTACTGACCTTTTAGGCAAATCATCAAAAATCACAAATCACGTGCCTAAAGTTTTTACGTTTCTTGTCTTTACAAAGTTTTGAAAAATAAATTAAAATGAGATTTTAGGCAAATAATTGATATTTTTTATAACTCATCAAATTAAACTAGTATTACCATTAAAATAAAAACACTATGAACTAAAGCTAGCCTCGTAGCCCAAAACCTACATGGGTATTGATAATATCTTGACAGTATAATTCTATATACGATGATGTCTCAATCTCCTATATAGAATAGAAAAATCACATGAAACATTGATTTTATTGCAAGCACCCTAGAAACTCCTCGTGTATTCATTCCGAGTTACATCCTTTCATGTCTTGGCACTATCCATCTCAACATCCTCATCTCAACTACACTCATTTTAACGGTATATTGTTTCTTGACCACCCAACATTCCGTCCCATAAAACATGGCTGGTCATAAAGCTGTCCTATAGAACTTCTACTTCAATTGCATTAGTATGCAGCTATCACATAAACTTTTATGCACATCTCCACGTCCCACTCAGCTCTAATTCTATGTGCGACATCTTCCTCAATCTCTCCATTATCCCAAATTAATAACCCAAGATATCATAAATAATCTCTTTTATGTATTTCTTTGTTACCAATCGTAACTACTTCCTCGTTCTACTCTTATTATTACTAAACTTGCGTTCCACATATTCTTAGTCCGGCTAATTTTAAAATCTTTTGATTCTAGAGCATCCTTCCAGAGTTCTAACTTTGCGTTGATCCATCATCTAGTCTCATTAATCAAAACTATGTCACCTACGAACAACATATACCAAGGTACCTCATCCTGTAGGCGCTTAGTTGACTTGCCCATAACCAAAACAAAGAGATATGAGTTCAGTGCTAACCCCTAATGCAGCCTTATTGTCACTGAAAACTCACTTCTCTCCACTAATCGTCCTCACACTAGTTAGCGCTACCTCATACATATCTCTCACCATGTCAGTACTCTTGAGATTCTTTTTTTTTCCAAGAGCCACAAAATTAAGTCTCTATGGGCCTTATCGTATGCTTTCTCCAAATCAAAGAGGTCTTCTCCCTTCTCCTTAAACTCTTCAATCAATTGTCTAAGTAAGAAGTGGCCTCAGTTGTTGACCTCCCTGTCATAAAACTGAACTAATGGTCTAATACACTTGTTTCACGTCTTAGTCATTGCTCAATCATTCTCTCCCACAGCTTCATAGTGTGGCTTATAAGTTTGATCCCTCGATAGTTCATACAATTTTGTATGTCTCCTTTATTTCAGTAAATATACCAAAGTACTTTTTCTCCATTGACTTGCCATTTTCTTTGTTCTCAATAACTTGCTGAACAACTTGGTCAACCAGCATATGCCATTCTCCTCCATGCAAGTCCAAAGCTCTATCAAGATACCATCTAAACCTAAAGTTTTTTCTATTTTTATCTTTCTCAAAGCTTCTTTTATTTTGGATATCCTAATCCTATGAATGAATATATGACCTCCACCCTCATTTATGTTAAAGGTTCCTCCTAACGCTCTGTTTCCATAGTGTTTATTATTTAACAATTTTGAAAACAAATTCTCCACTTTTCATTAACCTCGTCATCCTACACCAAGACCCTCTAATCCTCACTCTTAATGCACTTAATATGATCTAGATCCCTACACTTCCTCTCTCTAATTTTTGCTAATTTGAAGACATCTCTTTTTGTTAATTTGAAGACATCTTTTTCACCTTCTCTTATCCCCAGTTTGTTATATGGATTATTATATGCCTTAAGTTTAGCTTTACTTACTATTTTTTGGGCACTTTTTTTAGCATTTTAATATTCTTCTAAGTTTTGATCACTTTTATTACAATGTCAAGCTTTATAACATAATCGTTTCTCACTAATAGTCTTTTAAACCTCATCACTCCACCACCAAGTTTCCTTATCGTAATTTCTTTTCCCTCTAGTTTCTCCTAAAACTTCTTTTGCCACTTTCTTAATACAGTCAGCTATCTCATTCCATAGAACATTAACTGCATGCTCATAATTTCATTTTCGTTTTGTTACCAATTTATCCTTAAATGCCTATTTTCTCCGTTTTCAAATTCCACCACCTAGTTTTTTAACACTCGTTTATTTCACTCATCCTCTTTCATCTCTTTATACAGACATCCATAACCACAAGCCTATATAGCATGATCAAATTCTCTCCTAAGACAACCTTACAATCTTTACATGATGGTCGAACTACCTTCTTAACTAGAAAGATGTCTATTTGGCTTTTATGTTGTCCACTTTTATAAGTTATTAAATACTTATTTCGCTATTTAAAGTAAGTGATTGCTATTGTTAGGTCGTAAGCCATAGCAAAATCCAAAATAGCCTCACCCATATCATTTCTTGGACTAGTCCATCAATATCATCCCAAAATTGTCTCTTAATTCTATCATCTAGTCCTACCTGTGGTGTATAAGCACTACGTAATGTACATTAATTATCTCCTCCCCCTAACACAAGTTCAATTGTTATGAGCCTATCCTGCTCTCTTGACATTAACTACTTTATACCTTAAATCATTATGTACTATTATACCTATGTCATTTTTACTGCTATCCTTTCCTATATACCAAAGTTCATATACATCAATTTTATTAGTTTTTTCTCCTTTCCATTTAGTTTCCTATAGATAAACTATGTTAATTCTCCTTCCTCTTATTATACCTACTAACTCCATACACTTGTCTATTAGTTTTCCTACATTCCATGCGGCTAGACGAATCATAATCCCTTGGAGTAGCTTCTTTACCCGCGTTCATCCAAAATGGCACAAATATCCTTGCCAACTTATCGCTGCAAACGGGAGTAGTTATAGCATGTCACTTCCTTGGAACCCTTGCTCATTTTCCACTGCAACCGGGAGTAGTTATAGCACGTCACTTCCTTGGAGCGCCTTAGCTAACCCTTGCTCCTTTTCCACTGCACCTGGGCACCGGTACAGTGCGTCACTTATAAGGAACACACTCGCATAAGCATATGAATAGGTACCGGAGTCATGAAAAGATGTGGCAAAGTTTTACGTTGATTGCCTACCTAAGACAACCCCCCTCCTTTGCCCAACCTTAGGACTGGCATGACTGGCATGGGGCTGACCAAGGCGGAGTTCGAAACCCGAGTCAAACACTCAGAAATAATGCTTTCCCGCTTAATGCATCTAATCACATTTAAGGCATCATCTAACTAAAGCCTTATCCCATAAAGTTATGACCAATGTTCCTCCCAACACGAGAATAAAAGCCAAATATGCCACATGATGGTGCATAACCAGTCCCTTAAAATTTAGGATGAAGTTTCTATGAGGCTCAAGCTTTATAAAAGCAAAATAAAGGCTCACCTCAAATCCTCGTCTGGAAAGCACTTTCGGCAATGAAAATCTCTATGTTGGCTCTAAAATCAATTTCCAACATTGACAATAAAATTTGAAACTCAAAGAGATATACAGATCTTGCAGATATATGAACACTTATATTTAGGGTGAATGGACAGTCTAATTAATTTGTTACAATATAGAGTATTTTCAGAGCTTGAAATCTTTTTTTCTTTTTCACAACCATAATGCTCAAGCCAGGATGATCGATGTAAAGGTTATCCAATGCTTGAACTGCAATTTTTTATGAGTTGTGAGGTGAGGCTTTACTTATTTTGATAGGGCTGCAGCCCTATGAAACCATTTTCCTACAATTTATGATGACTTCCCAAACCTGTTCGACCTGAATTCCTATTTCAGCAGTTACTACTGTCAAGCATTAGTGCACTATAAGGAGGTATTCAACACGAAAACCTTCAATGGTATTCATCCAACCACCCATAAAATCTTCCAATGTAGACCCTAGTATCATTGGTCAGGAAAGCAGCCAATGAACTTATAGTCTCTTAATGCTAGCAAAAAAAACATACTCATCACCTCTTCTAATTCTGAAAATGCAGTAATTTGGAATTCGGTATTCCCTTTATTTCCATAGAATGTGTTTGACAAAACAGAACTTTCAATTTCATAACTTCAAAAATCTTAATAAAGGCATAGTTTGTTTCTCTTATATCTGTATTACATGTCATTCTAATACATACTTTTTTGTAGCTATTTGACTGTGTACCTATATTTTCAGAATTTCCATAAATTTGTAAATTTTAATTCTTTGCTTGGAAAATTCTGAATTCTTTTTTATTGGGCACATATTAGAATCCTAATCTTCTCCCTCTATCCATTAAATATTTACACCCTCTATCATAAGGAGAGATTTGTCATACACCAATAATGTGCAAATTTGGGGTTTATCTCATGAATTGTATTCATAACGTTAGGGTTTATAATAGTAGACATTTATCATACTTCTTCCCAACCCACAGTTTGCATAGATATCAATTATTGATATGTGCACAAAAAATCCCAATTGATACCATATTTCTCATTGCAGCTATGAATGGAATCACCAATCCCAAAAAAACCCAACAATACAACCCTTCAAACCACAAGCAATTGTGAAATGATTCAATTAGGTAAACTTATAATTAATATGTACACAAAAAATCCCAATTGATACCATATTTCTCATTGCAGCTAGGAATGGAATCACCAAACCCAAAAAAACCCAACAATACAACCCTTCAAACCACAAGCAATTGTGAAATGATTCAATTAGGTAAACTTATAATGTATGAAAAAGCATGACAATGACTTCTCTATAAACTCACTTTTTTTTAATACCATGAAAGTAAACGCTTTCCGAGCATTTTCAATGGACACATGAACAAAACCACAATCTCAATACCTACATAAATACCACATAAAAGGCCATTTTGATAGTCAAACAACGCAAACCCTTCCCAGAACAAAGCATCCTAGTAATATGGCAAGGAAAAGCTCATACTCTTGAATACATATTCTTTCTCACTCTAAGCAGATGAACCCAAGCTCAAACATGGAGAAGCTAGTGCCAATTTCATCAAATTCACAAGCCAAAACCCATCTGATTGAACCTTTAAACATTTAAATCCAATAGGCCAAGGTTGTTTTTGACGCACTCTTCGTCACCTTCTCTCTCTAAAAATCCAAGGTCAAATTTGATTGGTCTCTCTCCCTTCAATTTGTTGTTTTATGGTTTATGCTTCATGGATTCACGAGAAAGAGGAGAGGGATCAAAGGAAGGAGAGAGAGCAAGGCATGAAACTAGAGTAGTGTTCACTTTGATTTTAGAGAGGAGAAGGATGTTAGAGAGAGGAAGAAGCCTTGTGAGAGAGGGACGATGAAAGTCTTGAGTGAGTGTAAGGCTTCAGAATAGAATCCCACAAGATATATTTAGACTGAGAATTGGTAACCCGCTAGCTAGAGTTCTCTTGCAGTCTCTAAAATTCAAATCCAAGTTGTTTCTCCTGGGATCCTAATTTTATGCCCTTATCTGAATTTTATTTAATTTAATTTGGTTCTATCAAACACATTCCTCGACTTATTGGATTATAAGGTTTTTGTATCCCATAATATTTGGTAATATCACGATACCCTTAACTGTTCGTGTGGGAATGTCCCACTGTTCAGAAAGTCAGATGTGGCTGCCTATGCAGTAAAGTGTCCTGGCATCCTACGATGCCACCTAGAAACTTAAGGCAACCCTAGAGTTTTGGGGGGTGGACTGCTAGAATAGTATGAAAAAAAAATAGAAAGGTACCATTAGAATTTCATCAAAAAAAATGGGGTTATTTGGAATATTTCTAATAAGTTGTATATTATATCTTCATTCTCAAGGTGAGCAAGGGAGGGAGGTAAGGAAGGAGAGAGAGAGAGAGAGAGAGAGAGAGAGAGGAGTCTTCGTGACTATTGTTGTAGGAAGGAGAACGAAGGGAGGGGAGAGAGAGAGAGAGGAGAGTACTTCTAGTAAGTGAGTGCGTAGTTCTTTTTCTTTTTTACGTTTTAGTTTAAGGAGTACTACTACGTTTACTTTTTACGTTTTACGTTAACTTTA